TTCTCTGTTGTTTGCAAGTTTTGTTTATATATTTTTTTCCATTTCCATCACAGATAATTACTTTATTTTCCGGATTATATGTTAAGGGTTTTTTTTTAATGTAGCTTTGCTGGTGCTGTGGCATACATACCAAAGCGTCTCATCCATCAAACATCATTTGTGGCCAAAGGACGGCACAAAAATAATGATAAAACTAATGATAATGACCAAACAATAAGGACTTTGTTAAATACTTTAACAACTACTTAACTTCCATGAAACCGTTTTTAGAAAACAAATGAAGGGACAGAATTTAAAAACAGTGATTGAGTCACAAAGAGATGACATTTTATCTTACTCCAGAGTTGGTGAAATTGTGACACCAAGGATGAATGTGTTCAGTTAATAAGAATAAGATCGGGAAATTTCTCGAACTAGTTAGCCTGTTACGGTAAAATATTTAGCTAATGTTCTTTAGGCTACTGTGCACGTGAGTAGTCTATTAACATTAAAAGTTCGTTCTTGGATTCCTGTGAAAGAAATGTTTCAGAAATGGCCTTATAGACCTGACAAACTTATATTAGGGATGGCTCGATCCGACACTGAGGATAGGTATTGTACAATATTGATCAAAATTTCAGGATTGTAAAAAAAAATAGCTATAGCCCTTCTGATAAAAAGCCTAAATGCCTAACTTTGTGTGACGTGCTATAAGCAGGGACACTATTGCCTCAGCAATGGCAGCCTGAGTCATGCTGGAGGAGAAAAGAAGGTATCGGATTGACATGCAGTAAGTATTGGAATATACTTATATACTTATATATAAGTTGCAGTATTGGTATTGGGCATGGAAACATTGTATTGAGCCATCCCTAAAATGTGTTAGTTTTTTCTCTACTAATCCAATAATACTGTTATACTTCAGTATCGTTCTGAAAATGCTGTATGGTAATGATGATTGACAGTTCATGTCAGGCCTAATTCTTTTTTTGGTTTTGTCCTCATTTAAATTTTACCCTATTATTTTTACTGTCACATTCTATATATATATATACCAGTTTGTCTTTTTTTATACTGATAGCTTAAAAGCAAAACTGAAACCCAGACTCCGTGTGTTCTGGGTTAATGAGCAGAGAGTGAATGCACCTGTGTTTCTGTACAGCTGAGTCCAATCAGGAGCTGCTCCTTCCTGCTCTGCCCACACTCTCTGTTGTCTTGAAACCAGACCTGTCGTTTGTGTGGCTTTTGGGTTTTCTATCAATTATTATTTCTTTTCTTTTTTCTCTTCACCACGCTTTACTTCTGGGGAATTTTTTTTTCTAAACAAAATTAATGACAAATGAAGAGAATCATTGATATTTGGTGATGAAGGTAAAAATCGACTTTTTTCTTTCATCCATCTTTTCAATTCGATTAGTTGGATACAGACAGTCGTTAAGACATTGATCTCATCAATTACAACTGCAACAGCAGCTTGAAAATCATTTTATAGCTCTTATTTTGAGTTAAAATGCATGTTATAAAAACTGTCATTGAAGATTTTTTGGAATGACATCTTAGTTGATAAGGTGGATTTTTTACCCTTGAGATTTTTGTAGTTCTTCAAAGAAAACTGCTCTCTGACTGAAGTAGTTCAAAAACACCTCAGAGGTGAAGAATCAGTTTCCCTTGGACTCGTGTTTAATCCAATGATGTCACGGATTGTAACCTTGTTTACCTGCAAAATGAAAAAAAAAATTGGGGTTTTACATGATGCCTGGATTTCACTTTCAGAGTGTGTGTGTGTGTGTGTGTGTGTGTGTGGTTTGGGTATTGCTACACTTGCGGGGATCTTTTTAATCCCAACTCTAACTTGTTTAAGTGGATCTTTTTAATCCCAACTCTAACTTGAATGTGTAAAGGTTGGAGTTTTGGCCTGGTTTAGAGTTAGGAGTCAGGGCTTCAGGGTCAGGGTTAGGGGTCTGTGAATGTATTATGTCTATGTGAAGTCTTCAAAACTCATGAAACCCAGATTACGTGTGTGATACATGAGAATGTCTTTTTTAAGTCACTTCAAACACAGAATTCTTTTCTCACAGATTTTCTTTAAAGCCAAGAACTGGATTATTTCTAAAGACCAACAAATAGAAAGTCGAAAATTGTGGAAATTGAGATAATCACAAATAAATAAAATGTATATAATATATATTATGTGTATAAAAACTTTATACTTTATGAATATTTCAAAAGAGAAACTGTTGACATTAGTCGTGACCATGAACACAAAAGCCGAGGAGTCTGTTTTCTGTCTCAGCTTCCAGAAACGAAAACAAAATACAACAAAGCTGATTTTAACTTCATAATAGAAAAGCCTGAACAACACACACAAAAGTACAGTACGCACAGAGAAGCCTTGAGCAAACATTGAAAATAATTTGTGTTTGGAAGGTTTTGCATAAAACTCTGCAGTGATTATACACAAGAACAATAAACACCAAGGTCTCTTCAATGTCAATATGGGACTCAAAAAAAAAAAAAAAAAAAAAGAATCAAAGAAAAAAAGGAGACTTTTTGTTGTTTAGCCCTAAGAAGGCTAAAATGAAGAAGGCTGAAATGAAGAAGGCTGAAAATGAAAAAGGCTAAAGTCAAAAAAGCCAACGAGATGGTGGCTAACGCGAAGGTGGCTAAAGTGCAGACACGAAATTAAAAATGAGGTAAGGTGGCTAAAGTGCAGACACGAAATTTGAAGCAGAAACACCCTTTTTCGAAAAGTTAATTTACTCACATAATAGAAATGAAACTTCGCATCCAAACTTTTACATCTTTATTTCTGATATCATCGTCAAAATTTTTACAAAACACTTTTTCTGACAGTTATATTCTCAAAAAAACCAAAACAAACAAACAAAAAAAACAGAGCCGTAGTTTTTAACGCTCAGATCAGGTCGCCACAAAAATGCATCAGGTCTAACTAGTGATTTAAAAACAGCATGGACCAAATAAAGAAAATAATACTGAAACTCAGCTTATATTAACGCACAAAGAAATCAGCACTCTCCATATCCACTGGTTTGTTTGTAAACAAATTGAAAAATAAACTGCAGTAAATACCCTTACTTAACCTTGAGCCTGATTTTCTCCGGCACTTCCTGTCCTGAGCGGAACACTTCCTGCTAAAATGATACCAGTCCCTAACGAATGTACTTCATTTCGTACTTCAATTCATTTCTGTTTCACACAAACGAGTGTCTGTTTTATAACAAAAGGTTAACGATGTCCTGCTGCAACCTTAAAAACAACATAAAAGAACACCTGCTGGGCAGACAGACACAGGTCAAAGGTTAAAGACTCCTGCCGATGTGAAACAGATTCGCAAAAACATACTGAGGAGTGAATGGAGGATATGGAGATGCTTCTGAGCAGAGGGAGTAAACGCACACACACTAACTCAAACACACAAAGATACAAGTTATAATCAATCAATAAATAAAATAATAAGAAAAAAATAATTAAAAAGAGAAGCGGTGGCAGGATTCCAACATTTCGACATAAAAATATACAAGTGTGTCTCAGTTCTGAGCTCTTTCTGGATAAATGTGGTGAATTTTCCCAAAATATCAGATTGCTTAAAAAAAATAAAACTCACTCATTGAATCGACGCATCAGGGGCAGGAGTGGTGCAGTGGTTGCCTAAAGAAGGTTCTGGGTTCCAATCTATCTTGTCGCCAAATCCCAGACTGCATCCAGAGCAAAAACTCGATGTGCGGAGCACTGCAAGGACGAGGCATTTGACCATATGGTGACAATGTTGATCATTTGAAAGAATTGTGGCACATAAAAAAAATCTAATTCCTTTCTTTTTAAAAGAAATGTCACAATTAAAAAACACCATGTTTACAGACTCCTCCTGATGTAAAAGGACTGGATTTAAAATCCTTAGGAACCACGGCCTGTGAGTGGGTAAACGGTGAAGACAGCAGATAGAAAAATATTCCTCAGTGAAGGAACATTAGCGCTGCAGCAGGAACCTCCGCAGCCACTCAGCACCGAGAGGTTCCTGCTGTGGACTAAACAAGGCTCCAGTTTGTATTTCAGAAGAACGTCATACCTTTGTTCTCAATTAGGATTCACTATTTACAGGATAAATAAGTTCTATTAGATTCAGTCCCTTTAATTACTCTTAAATTTTCTTGACATCATCTGTGAACAACATATCGTCCGTTTTTAGGTTTGATGCAAAAAGAACACATTCTCTGGCAGAGAAAGTGTCCCTCAGTCATGTGGTCTTAGTTCCATCACATTTAGTCTGCAGATCACGCTCCGATCCACGATGGGAGGAGCTTCACAGTTTTAGTCACCTGACACTGGTCCGTCCCAGTCGTCTTATCGTAAGTTTATTATTAGCTCCGCTTCATTTCCACCTCGTCCGACAGAGACCAGGATCACAGGAACCCTCTCTGGAGAAACATTCCCACTTCAAAGATCCGTTTCATACCTAGATCAGAGAGGTCAACGTGCAGTTCCTCATGCTCCCAGCAGTCCCTGCTGTCCCCTGCCGCAGAGACTGTCGGTGTCCAGACTGACAAGTGTGATGATAGACTGGAAGGTTCCAGAACTACATTCAGGGCAGTGACTGGATCTGCCTTTTTTAAAGAATATGTACAATGTGTTTGCATTCAATGTTGTCATATTTACCACACGAAAAGCCCCCGAGCCAGGCTTTGAATGTCTTTAAAGCATCCATCATGAGACATTTCAGTTTAAATCAACCGTTTTACACAGACCTGTTGTCAGACTGTGGACTGTAGCGATCATGGAACAGTGATGGACCGTGTCATTGAACCCCCGGTACACGGCCTGTGGCTGTTCAAGATAAAAAATGATGAAATGATGAGATTAAGATGAAAAACGATGGAGGATCAGATCAAAATGAAAACTTCCTTTAAGGTTTGCGTTCAATCTGGATTCATGCTGGTGGATGTGTAAAGACAAGCTCCTCCATCTGTGGTCTCCAGGATTATTAGATTAAGTTTAAATGATGTAACTTGTCAAAAAGACATACATGTATAAAAAAAAATTCTCCAAATAGAACTTTACAAAAAAAAAAAACAAATAAAAAACTGAAGAACTGAAGAAAACTCTTTGGTTTGACGACATGTTCATGGAAATAAACTGATGTCCAGAGATAAAAAAAAACAAAACGTTTCTTAAGACCTATTTGTGACAATAAATTTAAGGACAGTCATTTCTGTAAACCGCCCCCTGCTGTTCACATGCTGTCCATTGCACTTTTCTCTTAAATGAAGTTGACTTTTGTCCTGACAATGTTGATATGGACACTAAAAAGTCACATGACTGATGACGCTGTCTCAGAGGAACTACTACTAACATGTTTACACAAAAGTGTTGTTAAAAAAATCTGTGATATTTTCTCAAACTGACAAATCATTCCTGACAGAAATATATTTAATTTTTATGCTTCTATGTCACGTGATCATCTTCTGAAAAAACTCTCAACGCAACCTCGAGTTTTCAAACTAAGGCTGACTCTGAAACCACCATCCTCATCCTGGTTTAGCTCTGTCCCTAACGTCCAAACTTGAGCGTGCCGCTGCGCTCCATGGTCGAGAACTGGACGCTGCTGGGACCTTCAGTTGGAAGTCTGAGCGTTGGAGGAGGGGAGCGGGGGCCAGGGATGGGGGCAGATATGCTGGCAGCGGGGGGCACAGCGGGGAGTGCCACAGTCTGTAACGTTCCCCGGTCACATGGTCCCAGTTCTTCAAGGCCCTGCGGCGGGCCCTCATACCCCATGTTTAACCGCAGCGACTGATGGGCCTGACAGAAGTCCACGATAGGCTGCTCGTAACGGTAGAAGGTGAGCGCGCTCATCTGGTGAGGAACCTGTTCAGGCGGACAGGAAAAGAGAAGCGAGAAAGAGAGGAAGAGATGTTAGTCTAGCAAAAGTAATGAAATAAAACAATTTCAAATTTTAATCATGATTAATTGAAGGATTATATAATTAATCCTGATTAACCACTTTATGTGCCAAATTCATTCAAATGATTGTAGTGGGCACATGTATTCCAATGTATTATATGAACCAAAGTGCAGTAATAATAAGTTGCAAACACTTTAAACACATTTTGACAGCATTTTCAACATTTCCAGATCAGCTCAACTTAAAAATAAAATAAAATTTAAAACCACATATTTACCCCTCCGAGGGCATTTTATGTAGCCTGTTACAGAGAAACATAAATACATAAAATAAATATTAAATACATTGTATATTTCAATTTTGTGATTTATACAACTAATGTAGTTTATTTAGGAAACTCATAATCGCCGTCTGCTGCTTCTGTTTTCTGTTTCACATTCAACTCTTTTCATATGCATTAATACAATGACAGCGACTGAGGCATTTGTCACTGCAAACATGTCAAATATGACAACCTGAATCTCTGCCTCTGAAAAGACAAACACACAGCTGCAGTGGCAGTCCTGTGCTTGGTTGGTTCTGAAGACGGAGCCAAAGTCACCTTGACTCCTCAGTCACTTCAGTATCACACACTGAGAACAACCGCCCAATCAGAACACCTCCATCAGACCAACCATACCTGGAATCAACTGCAGCTAACCCAGAGAAACGACAGCATGGCTGACTTGAATGGTCACATGACCAAAGAAAAAACAGCAGGAGCTGCAGGCAGGAATAATGAGAATAAAACAACCACACTGTGAACAAACGGTGTCACTGCAGCACAGCAGCGCTGGCTAATGTGGTGGCTATCATTTAATTTGTACTTTGTTTTCGACATATTATCGGAGTTTCAGTGTCAGGATGACGCTGTGGCTCCGGTTCTAAGTCTGACTGTACAGTATGTACAACCTCAACAACACTGTTACACACTAACATCCAACAGAATAAAGACAATCTGAGGAAACATGTCACCACAAGAGTGGCAACCGATCATTTTCACGACACACTCCTTTGTTTAAAATGAACAAAGACAGATGGAGGATTTTGTCATCACTGCATGTTCAACATAGGACAAAAATTCTGGCGTCTCTCCATGAAAGAACCACACGCCCAATCTCACAGTCTCTGAATCCCACGATTTACACTGATCCCTGCCGTGAAAGACCAAGCTGTTGAGGACAAACAATCAACAGCACAAAACAAATCAAATAGAAACATCAAGTCAGTGTAAAGCCAAGATATGACAGATTAAAGTGATGAATCAGTGAATGTCAAAAAGTGGCAAGAACAATGTTATTAACAATGTACGCAAACTGATGATTGAATGATGATGGACCCCTAGTGGTGTAAAGGTGATGCAATAATTTCATCAAACCAATGAATGATCTCAACAGGACAGACGGTTGTTTTGTTTGTGAACTGGCCCTTTAAAATTCAATTTACAATTCAAGAAAAACATGAAACTCGGTTTAGCAGCACTTCAGATCTACAGCATGAGTTAAAAGAATCAAACACATCAATGGAAGAGTTCACAACTGAGTTCACAATTAAGATAAAAGGAGTGAAAACAAGAAAAAAGAGAGAAAAATTCCGCTTTAACAACTTCTCTATATCAGTGATTCTCAAGCCGTGGGCTGAGGGAGACCATCAGAAGTAGCGTAGAAAATTAGAAGAATTTCACATTTACTGAAAACAATGTCCAACTTCAGCAACACTACAGTAACTGGCAGAACAATTAAACACTTTTCCACAATGTGGCAGCAGATGGCTATAAGTAACTGTAAAAGAGAGTTCAGAAAGTTTTGTCTTTCTTCAATTCCTGCGAGTATGTCAGCATCATATTCAAGTAAACAGGCCCAAGTTTCACACTGAGTAAATCAAAAGTAGAAGATGATTAGACTACATGAAATATACTTTTTGTGACATTGTTGTTTGGTAGTGTGTATAATTGGATTTTTCGAGTAAAAAAATGTCTCAAAATGTTGGGCAACACTGACATCACCCAATGCTACAGCAGCACCAGGAAAAAGGATTTGTCCTGTTACAGGTTCTTTTCTGGCACGAGCTCTACACCAGAGGTGTTAAAATATCTAGTACCTGAATCAGATTTTAAAACAAGTTTATTTACATACATTCTACAGTATACTAACTTCAAGGTTAATGTTTTTTTTTAAAAGCAAATGGTTTATGTAAATAATTCTTCATGTGTCGGTATACTAACTGCAAGGTTAATGTTTTGTTTTTTTTAAATGAAAGGTTTATGTAAATAATTCTTCATGTGTCGTTCACTTTCCTAATTTCACACAACTGCAGTGAAACTGTGTTTCCTAAATCTGAAAAAAA